TATACATATATATATAATATTTATTTAATTACGTCCAAAAAATTGCTAACAAACAAGTTCGATATAATTTATTGAAGAATCGATTCATAATTTATAATTCATTTTGAAGAAATTCATTGAAAAATTTTAATAAACATTTTGACTTTCATAATTATTATAGTTTCTGCAAAATATTTATTGTAAAGAAAACAATAATTTGGCGATTTTAGAAACGCTCACGCTTTTTAATTTTAGTAATTGTTAAAATTGATAGATTGTGAAATGAAAGGATGTTGATTTCAATATTAATGGATTGTTTGCTCAAAACTTGTAAATAATGAGATTCTAAGTAGCTGTTCGGGTCTGGTATGTTGTGATTAAATGCCTAAATTTCCTTAATTTCTTTAGCGGAATACAGATTGCGATAGTAATCTCACGAAAAAGTATATATAATTTTTGTACTAATAGAAATACTCGTAGTATAGATGCGTTAGATTGTATCTTACATAACGCGCATCATGAAATCTTTGTCAGCACATTTATCGAATATCAAAATGATATGACTGTAAAGTACATATGTTGATAATTAATCCGTAATTTGATATGTCAATCGAAATTGATAATTATAGTTTCAAACGGTAAATAAAATTGTTGAAATATTACATTTAAATCTTGGTTAAGAGCGATATGAGAAAAAAATTACCGTTTAAAACAAACGATTATCGTTATATGCACGCGCGCGCGGGCGCACACATTTTAAAACAAATAGTGCATATCGCCAAAAAAATATTTAAAATCAAATAATGTCCAAACAAATTTTCAGTCGACCAATTTTCATCGAAATCAATGTACGTAGACATATGATATAATGCAATAGTTTATAATAACACGTAGTAAAATACAGTACATGGTAGTAAATATTTTCCATATGAACGCATGATCCAGACCCAATCAACCATTTAAATTTTAATTACGCGTGTGCGAGCAACGATTTCAACGTTTATTTTAATTTTAACCGAGACTGAATATACGCACTATGTAAATATAATATTTCTGTAGCAAATATTCGCATGACAAATATAACAATATGAAACGTTTCACATTTAAGCGTAATCCTGTTTTTTTGCGCTTTCTTCTATTTTGAAGACTTATCACACGTTTCGTTAAACACTAACGAGATTCAAATTGATATACCCTGAGCAGGTATAAATTTCAAATGATTCATATCTAGAAACGATACATTGTATCGAAATATTAACAACCATAATCTATATGTAATGGAAGCATTCACTTTTGATAAGCAAGAGTATCCGCTCACTTGGTGTATACTAATCTCATCGTAAATCGCATCGATATATATATATATATATATTAATTTGTTTATTTAATAAAGTCATTCTTTTCTAGAAAAGCTGTTTGTTTAAAAAATACATGTAATTAAATAGCTGTTATTAAACAATCTGTTAATTGTATGAGAGATGTTTAATATTCTAATACTGAAATTATATTTCTTCCTTCTAGCATTTTTGATTCTCGTTGTTTTAAAAAATAATCTATAGCAATTTGCACGTTATAAAAATCGTCACACATAGTCGAAGGTACGGATACTCGATTGCCACAATTCTAATTGAAATTGATCATGTCATGGGCCTGATAGTCCTCTACAATACAATAATCAATAATCAATAATCTTATCTAAAGCGTTCTTTTGGTCCTATCTTCCGATATTACAATGCACATAGATATTAGCGTCAAAGTTTCGCTTCTGTGATATATAACTGATGTATAACGTATAAGTCTAAAGTGTACAAATATCACAATTTCATCTCCCATAAGACTATATGTGCGTCATTACTGTTGGGATCTTTGAACGCGTAGGTCGATTTCGAACTTTTGTCAATATAGGATTGCGCATGTAATTGCCTCCAATTGATATAACCACGTCCACCCATTAGCGTCAATACCGTTCTTTTAGGTTGTTCTATTTGTTGCATCGTTTTACCATTCTTCTTACCATTCATCTTAAGATTGCTCGCAGATGTTGTTTCCAATGCGGATTGTATTGCGCTATTGTTACTTGGAGAGAGGTCGTAAGGACCGTTACGACTAGCTATGCTACTATTACGCGATAATTTTCCAGTTTTTAGAGATAAATTTTCTTCCGAAGATGTGTACAAAGAGCTCGCGTGAGAATCCACCGACCAGTTGGAAAGATCCAACGATCTAGGCCTAGTGATTTTCATTTTCAATCTACGATCCAAGGTACTCACTTTATTTGGTATGGCTGCCAATTCTGGGTCGCTTCTTCTCAATGTCTCGTAAATAGGGTCTATACCCGAATTGTTTTCATTTTCGTAATCCTTCACGTACATCAATTCACCGTAAAGTCCGTAAACGTCGCAGTTCTCACCAGAACTCTGCGAACTGGAGATGGAGCTTGATAAAAATCCACAACCAGCTCCTAATCCCCTCGGAAGTGTTTTCGAGCCTCTACATTCATATTCCTTGCTTCGCTTTCTTCTCAGCATTACCGGGCTTCCTGTCAACTGTTGTTTCAGTTTCGCGATATTATTACACGCAGACGAATCTAAACTCGTTCTATCTCGCGATTTCTGTTCGGCATCTCTCGTTCTTAATGGTACACTTTCGTCATCATTGACGCGAACATTCTTCGCGGTAGAATACATCGTGCCTTTCGTATTGTGTACCGCCAATAAAAATGTAATCGGACCAAAGTGGGCATGATAAGAAATATTGACGCGTCCGCTGATGATTGGCACTCCCTCCAAACGGGGTAATGGAATAGTTAAACTAATACCTACGTTAGTGCCGACCCACAAGAGACCTTTACACGCTAAAAGCGCCGTAACCGTAACCGCAGTTTGACTATTGACAGCCAAAGTGCCACCGCACGAATTGAGAGGATTATTCATTTTCGTCACTCTCAACACGTTGGACGCTATATTGATGTCTTGTAAATGTTTGAACGTTTCCGTGTGATAGAGACAAACTGTACTGGAATTTTTAAGGGCGACCCAAAGACCGACCCCGGAATGGGCCATGAGTCTCACATTTCCAACATGTTCGTGTTGTGCGCTAAAGTTCTTGGTGACATCTCCCGAAGTGGCATTAAGTACCCAAACCTTCTTGCCACAGGCGGCATAAACTGACTGATTAATTGGCATTAGGCACGAGACTGGATCGTTACCAAGTGATATAACAAAGGGATCTTTGAGGGCCCAGATACCATCGGCTTGTCGTTTAAATAAAAGTAACAAACCCGTGCCTAACGCTACGAAAACATTGTCGCAATGATACTTGATTTCAATTATAGGTCCCGAGACAGGATAATTGCCGATCTCCTCTTCCTTTTCGGGTTCTGTCGCGGCATAAATAATAATTTTCCGAGAATCCGTGCCCATCCATACGAGATCACTGGCGAGCGTGGTAAAATCATTGGAAACCCCTTTTACGAACTCGATGGCGTTTACTCTAGTTTCGACCAGATCAAAAGTAGTTATACGTTTCAAACAAGTCGCCGATGCTGTTGTCGATTGACCAAAAACTGTTACATGACTGGATATGCCGTCTCCTGTACATATCCACAAATAATTTTGACTTCTACCGCGTCGTCTATTGGAACGTGAATTTTCAATGGAATAATAACAACCGCAACGTACCTACGATTAAAACATTGTGATATTATGTGCGTATAACATAATAATAATTGATAATAATATCAATACATATGCGTGAGATTTATACGTATAGCATACAGAAATATATTATTATATTAGACAGATATGTGACATTTTTGTAACAACTCACTTCAGTCTGATGTTGCGAGCGATATACGGCTTGTGAACTAACGAAAAGTGGCATTTTCGTGGACGGTCTTTGCTCCTGTTCAGGTACTTCCCACGATGGAGAATTGTTGGGATCCAAAGCTAATTGCGCCAATCTAAGTTCAGTTATCCAATCCTTTTTCACCAGCGGATTTTCTGTTTGAAATGTGTACATTTGACCTTGCTTTGTGACTAGTTGGAGACAACAGCTATCGGCCCATACCATATCCTCGTCCTTCTGCTGTATCGACATTTGTATCGATTGCAGAATTTGCTTGGTAGTCTGGAGTGTCATTCCCTGTGAATTCAAACAAAAAATAAATTCTAATTAATTAATTTACAAATCTACGATAAAATCATCGAGTTTTTATTACAAATTGGTTTTATACGCAAATGTTGCGCACGCGCGCGCGCGCGTGTGTTCAAATCAAATATATAAAGACACATAATAGTAAATTCATCATTTTCTCTTTACCTCGTATCTACCCTTCAATTGGACCACTAAATCACTTATCCTAGACATGACTTCGTAATCGTGCATAAGATCGTTCATTTCTACACAGAGATTATCCGCGTCGGTTGCTTGTCCACATTCTCCACCGCTTTTGTCAGATTTTAAACTGCCACCTTTATTCAAACCAGCGGTGAGTAATCGACTTAAAGTCGGAGAAGTGCTAGTATCTTGAATCTAAAACAACATTAGTAATACTATTAATTTTGCATATTGTATATCTTTAAGAGAAATGTTTTTATTCTTATTATAAATTGATTTTGTATATTTAACAAGACTTTAATATATGTAATCACTGCAATATGTAATGTAAAGTCACATACTTCGATATCCGATACCGGATACGTCCATTTTAGCGTTAATCGTTCGTTTCCTGAAAAATCTTCCGTCGATCTCGGAGTAACGGAAACGCATACTACTAAATCGTTTAGTAGCAATAATCTTCTTCTTTTGGATTTCGTTATCATACCGTTCTGATTGAATTCCTAATAAACAAATTGCATGTTTTACTTATTACCCATATTCATTCGTTACTATCGTGTTACATACATACATACATACATACATACATACATACATACATACATACATACATACATACATACATACAAACATACAGATATATAATATTGCGTTATATATTTTGAATGCACATGTTTGATGACATAGTCTTACCAATTGCGTGACATTATCTTCTCTAATAAGATAGCGTGACGTTGAAGAAAGCGGACGATGCGACAACTTTCCGGAAACATGCCGCAACATTTCTTTAAACGCTTGGAATTGCTCCGCTTCTCGTTTTCTCTCGTTTAGCATTTCGGCCAAACTCTCGAGTTGCGTTAACGCCAACTGCAAAGACATTCTATCGTGATGTCCTTGTGGTGTATGCTTTAATAAATCCTAAACATAAGACATAAGACTGTTAGTTCGACGATTCTGAGAGAAAGCAATTTTTCACATGTCATTAATAAAAACTTACTTGCAAAAATAAAATAAATTGTGGGAACCTTTGTACAGGCTTGACCATTAAACCAAAGAAAGATAATCTATCGTGGGCACTAATTTGTTTCACCTGCAAAGATGGAAAAAATATATTCACGTATATATATATCGATTGCGAAATTGAGATTTGAGAGACTTTCTCATACGTAAATCGAGGCGGTACCTTAAAAAAATCAGCGAGCGCGGTCTTCCTCTTTGATTCTTGTTTGGCTAAATCCATCGCCACAGAAAAGTTGTTTATAAAGCCGCTGTAAATGTCAAGAACAATGGCTTTGCTGAAACTCGCGACGAATACATCTCCCAACTTTTCATCCTTGTCCCAGGATCGTACGCATTCCGCCAGAGCAATTCTAAATAATGTATGACATTGCAAAATTTCGGGTAATCTATGAAACAATGTCGCTATCTTGGATTGACTCAGTATAGGTGGTGAAGATTCCTCCAATGGTTTCTTATAATCCTAAAATGAAAATAGTAATCTACGTGAGAGAAAAATTATTGTCCCCTGCTTTGCGCTTGATATGAGATTAGATTGTTTTCAGTATATACGTACATTTACTAATCTTTGCAAAGTAGATACATAACTGTTTTCGGAATGTACTATCGCGGCCACAATATGTCGACGTTTCAATTGTTGAGGAGACAGGTTTGGAGGTGGCGGTGGAAGTGTAGGTGGAGCTTGTCTTCTTTGTTGCATACACTGAAATTGTATCATCGCGCTACTCTCTTCGTCGACCTAGAATATATAACGATTATCCGATTATTATGAGAACTAAAAAGAATAAGATAGTCGAGTACAGGATGCGATTAATCGAAATGAAAATTGCGCAGAAACGGAATACTCACTTCGCAAAGCTGTGGCATTTGCGACGTTTTGATAGGGCTGGTTAGAGATACCGTATCTGGGGAATCTACATCGTAATGATGCGTTGACCCTCTGCGAATACTGAACCATCTCGAGAGGCGTCCATGATTTCCCGGAGATTCCAGAAGATCCGCACTGTTGGCCGGTATATTTTGAAATCGCCACTTGTCGCAAAGCGTACGTGCTTTATGCAACGTATTTCTCAATTGGCAATTACTTCTGCAAAGAACAAGTGACAAATTTTCATTACGGACGTAACTTTATCGAATTGTGTAACGAGATTAAGAACTTACTTAATACTGATATTACTCTTTTCGCTTTCATCATCAGAAGAGATATCGTGATCCGATGCCGAACACCAAGAATCCTCGCTTCTGGCGGACTGTGTGGACGTGTTGGACCTGCTTGTCTCTAAAGAGGGATGACGCGCGTTTCCACTGACCGTTTCCATTTTGCCGGGTCCTACGTCATCCCACGATTTGCACCTTGAACGAGGCTCGTCTGGAAGAGTACCGATAAAAAAACGTGAATATTAATTACATCGGCAATTAAATCGGAGTTTAAAGATCAACAAAACACTCGACATCTATCTCAACTTGATACATATAAAAGAAAAAGAATCTCTTTTGTCGCGATGTAGTTTACACACATGTAGAGAGGATTTCGTTACTATCCATCTATAATAGAACTTGTAACGCACAAGTAGTAGTCGCACGCGCGCGCGTCATCGAACCAACTATAGACCGAGTCTGCTATGCGTCACCTCTTTGAGGATAGACGATGATTTCCGTATTTTATTCTCTCCGACGAGACGGGCAGAGGGAGAAGGTTCAAAAATTGTCAAGTATATTATACGTACCAAGTATACGAGCAATTTTTTACAAATGTGTGTAACGAATACGGGAGATCGAGTCGCTTCGTCGCGCGGAAGCGTCGCTTTGTTATGCATCGCCTGTTTTATTGGACCTTCCGCTGTGTCGCGCGCTCGTGTTACCAACGCGTTAACGTCGCGATGATCATCTGATTAATACGACGTACTCCATATTCCCACGTTTCAATGTTTCACGTCGCATACGCAAAGATGTATACAATAATAACGCTTTATAATACTTTTTACTACGAGATACCGAATATTAACGCGTATTCTACTTTATATCGATCAATACAATCTGAAATTGGATACTTGTAAACTTTTTGTTTCGAGAAGAAACAAAGGAATATATATATATATATATAATGTATAGCACTAATCATTAATTGGAGATTACGATATTATACAAGTTATTTAGAATCGTAAAGTCAATTTTTAACCCGCTATCGCGCTATGTAGAAAAATCTTTTATATTTCTGTGAAACAAAGGCATATAGATCACAATAGTAAAACGATAGATAGATAATATTATTACATTTTTCTCGTCTTATTCCGCTATAATGAAATTTTAAAAAACCGGTAAGTTTTATAATACATTTCATAATACAAAAAGAATTATAACACACACACACACACACACACACACACACACACATTGGCGCGGGATCGCGGTTTCAATCTCACGTGTCACCAAAGCTATACCCGAAAACTGATACGCCTACTCGTTGATTACCCAATACTTTCACATGGAAAAATACGGCTTATCCTATATATCGCTCGACCCACGCACCCACGCACCATCGCATTACGGGTTCGCGCGTGTAAATACGTCAAGTCAAAGGCATACACTCGGTACACACGTGTGTATATACTTACGCGTGCGCATTAAGATTCAAGGTGGCTTCGGGCAGGTATGAAAGCAAACGCAATGTCGTTGAAGAAATGTCGCGCTACGTAACAATAATAATGTATAGTCGAGCAAATTATAGGCGTGCTGCGCACCGATACTATTTCTCCGGAAATAACGAGAGCCGCGGCCGCGGCCGCGCGCCGCGCGCGTATCTATCAAACTTGTTCGCGTGCGCTCTCGTGCAAGAGAGGCGGATGACGAATGACTCCCTCCTCCCTGCTCCCTGTGCCCATTTCTACGCGTATGTGTACATGCGTGCATTCATAATTATACATATACATCTTTGCATATCCTTGCGAGAGTTCTTTATTTTTAATCTGTGACGAAAAATTTTATATCCGTATTCTGTCCAAATGAGATATATAGCATATCTGTAATTCTGTAATTGGTGCATTTTATTCGTTATTGGGAGACAAATGAAAAGAAAATAGAATGTTTCATTTTTTTATGGAGGCCTATCAAGTATCCTAACAAGAGACAATTGTTTTATAAATATGCATAACTTTATATTTAAAGCAATCGAGTCTAGTACACGTGACAGAACATGCAGCACTTGATTACGCAGGCACGCGTCACATTCCAAGAAATTGGTAGATTTTTAGAATGACATAATTTTTGACAACGAAACGAAACATTTCTTTTCTCTTTTGTCTTTTATATTTACTCTATTTCTCATTCATACGATCAGGTCATCATAAAATGCGTACGATTAAGTATCAAAGATAAAAAGTAGAGAGGAAACTATTTGTAAAACGACACAATCGCGATAACAATCGTATGAAACTGCGCAAATGACAATTAATTTGCATGCAAGCATCTTGCAAGCGAATTTATATTCGAGATATTCGCCAATTTCCTTTCACTATTTCACCAGTTTATTTACAGAGGCTATGAATATGGAGCGAACGGTACGCTTTCAACAAGGCGAAAAACTGCAAGTTGGCGGTTGTATTTCAATCAATCGATGTTTTTATGATAAAAGCACGTCTACGACTAGTAGTTTCTTTCATTTATTGAACATTCTATATATGAATACATTCAAACAAAACGGTCCGCGCGCGCGCGTGCCTGTGTGTGTATCTGTGTACAAAAATTATTTTAAATATTTATTATTCAAATAAAGAGGCAATGACATAAATGGGATATATATGAGTAATGGAAAGATCGATTGCACTTGGCAAAGCGTAAATAACGGCGCGGCATCTTTTCTGTTTTCACTGTTACCAGGTTTTGCAATGTTTCTCATATTCATCGGTCTCGCATTCAGCAGCATTCAGCAAAGTGCGTGCGCGCAACGCAGCAATTCTCCATGCCGCGATTGCTCACACGGATCATAAGAGGGTGGATCGAAAAGTAACTTGGTTCAAAATAACAGACAATGGTTTTAAATTTAAAAAAGACGCTTGTGTTCAAATAGCTCGAACGAATAATATTTGGCAGCAAACTTCACATGCGTTCTTAAGAAGGATGCAACTATACGATGACATATATATTTGTCGCTCTCTTTTAGTTACTTTTTCCATCCACCCTCATAGAGCGTCCATGATGTAACAATCGATCGATTGTACTTTTTAAATTGTATAAATGCGATTTGTGCGACTTGTGCGATGAGCACAATTCCAAAATGTTCCGTTCGACTTTTACTGATCGCCGAAATGAGCAATTATTGATACGATAGCTCCCCAATTGACGGCGTCATCGCGATAGAATCGGCAAAAGTATTTATTTAGTTGGACAAAACGTTGACAATACGTTGACAACGAATGATCGATACAAACGTAAAAGCAATAAATGTCACAATTACTAAACTATAATAATTAACTGTTACGCCAATGTCGTTTAGGTAGAACTCGATATAGCAATACTTTGCGCAAACACTCGACCATCGAAATTATATTCAAGATGTAAATTAAATGACATCACGCGTCACTAAATGTTAGGTTTAAATTATTTTTAAAGAACGTAATCTATCGACATTGCTGTAATTCTAACTCTGCGTTAAGCTTTGAGAAAAGTAGACAAATAGATTATCTTTCTTATCTCATCTTTGTTATGTTATGCGCGGCATTTCAAGCTTTGATAACCTGTACCGTACATGTGGCCGTTAATTACAATTGATATCGATATGTCAACAAAACATAATGTCGTTGTACTGACATTTCAATGTTCCCGATATGGAATACGCAGTTTCTCTCTCTCTCTCTCTCTCTCTCTTTCTCATAACACAGAAAACACGATATTACTCTAATTGCACGATAAAGCAAGATTATATGTATTTGAAATAATATCATATGGATAAACATATATTTTTGCCCTGAACCGTTCCAAGATTGCAATGATTAATATTTAATATAAAGAAAGGAGAAACTCTCCCCCCCCCCCACACACACATATATATATACAAGGAAGAGAATACATTATGAATAATCATACTTACATTTGATGAGGACAACCCCATTATGCAGTTCCTCCATCTCGCGGAGGCGAATATTCCTTGCGATAATTTACTCGTGTAACTTTCTCTGTCTCACTCTCACTCCATCACTAACCTAACGTATTCTGCGAATACAATCACGCTACCACACGCGAATTCATACGTGTCATACGCCCGCGCGCGCGCACACACGCGCACACACATACACACACATACGCCTCGATATTACGCGGTATTAAAAATCATATCGGGCACGTGCGCACGCGGCCGGTCGCGGACCGCACAACGCACAATTAATAACGCCGCGGCATATAGTGATAAGGAAGACGCGCCGCGTTTCGCAACGAAGGAGCACCACAGTCAAGTGAGCAAACGAAACGAATCAACATGGCCGCGCGCTGCGTGTTTCTGGTTTCTGTTCCAGGCCGGCCCTCCGTGTCCGCGTTGCTCCGCGCTCCTAGTCGCTGTACACTGATGTGAGGAGATTGGGATTGGAGAAAGAAGCGAAGGGCACGAAGGAAACAGGAGAGACCAAAGGGTGTGTGTGCATGCGTGTGCGTGTGTGTGTGTGTGTGTGTGTAAGGGAGGAGGAAAGAACGCGAGCGGCGAGCGACTGACACGATCAAAGAATGTGTAGCTACCAAACGAGAGAGAAAGTACGAGCGATGGAGAGTGAAACACATAACGCAGCTCTTGCCTCACCGCGCAGCTGTGTGTACACCCCGAGAGAAGAAGACAGAAAAGCGGAATATAGAGGTAGATGGACTGGACGAGAGACGAGACGGCAAATGAATATAAAAGAGAGGAAGAGGCGCGGTGCAGAACGCATGAGAAAGGACAAAGACCGGGGGGGGGGGGGGGGGGGGGGAGAGAGAGAGAGAGAGAGATATGTTGCAGAGACGAGATAGTAAGATGCGAGACAATCTCGTTTCGAGAGACCAACAGGTGACATGACGCATGGTATATTACGTGTGTATGTTCGAGAGAGAATCTTTCGCGTTTGAAAATGTATGCCAAGGGAGATGAGATCGCATAGAGTATAGAGAGTATCGTTATATAAATTGGCATTGATGTTTAATTGCAAAGATAAACTTTTCGCTATAGTGCTAGTCTCGAGATAAAAAATGTTGCCTTTTAAATATAATACGCATACGACTCAATCGGTACATGCCGCATCAAAAGTATTTAATTTTATCTCGTCACTAAATTGCCTAGACGGCGCCACCGTGCAATTATAATTATAAATTCATATTAATAAGTATGTACATACTACATACTTGGAAAAAAAAAAGATTTTCTAAACATGCATACATCTCTCAAAATCTTATGAAAAATCTGTAAACGCGCTTAATATTCCAAAGTTATTTTACGGGAAATATATCGCAGTATTTCATTATCTTTTTTGTTATCTTCTTCGATTTGTCGAAAACAAAACGCTTAACATTTTTTCATGAATCAATTATTAAATCGTGTATTAAAAAGATGTGTACATTACAATGAGTACAAGAGTGAACGCGAGAGGTTTATTTTATATGACGTAAATGAAAGGAAGGGAGAGAAAGAAAGGAGGGGACATTTCACGTGATCTCGCATCTGCTTCTCCATCGAATGACCACAGCTGACCTCTTCCAAGTACCAATAATTAACTTTATTCGCCAAATGCACGCGAGCGCATGAACCGAATATGAACATTCACGTTATATCGCGCGAGCAATGTACTTTTACAGAAAGAAAGAAACAAACATTCAACAAACATTATGCATACTTAAGCTGCAGTTACACGACGAAACACTTTGTAAAATAAATATGGAAAATACTTGAATCTGTTTTTCAAGAATTATTTAAATTTCTTTTTTATCTCGGAGAAAACATGTAAAATATATATGTGAATCTCTTTTCTCTCCTTTTTTTTTCTTTTATAAAGATTTTTTTCGAAGCGTGCGAATCATATGTAAAAAAAAAAAAAAAAAAAAAAAAAGTATTATATTGCCCTTTCATTTATTTCTGAGAAACATATTTCCAAGGGAATATACGTCGTCGGTATTCTTGATGCGCAACAGACTACGCATCAAGAATTTGTAACGATACGCTTATACCCAAGTCATTCATAGCCATGCGTAATCTGAAAACTGATTACCGGGCACGATGGTCACATCTACGAAACGACGAAACGCGACAACGATGACTATCGATTGGTTGACCGGTTGGATAATCTATATATTTACATATATCTACCGTCTACGATAGTTTATCGTGAAAAAAACCAACAATTAATTAGACTCACCAATAATCTTGCTGTTGTTACTATTGTTTCCGAAGGAATGGAGTTTCTTCCAACCTTTCCAGCCTTTTTTCCAAATCATGGCGGCTTTCGTTTTACGTGGAATACCAATTAATTCCGAGCCGCTCGTTTTCCCCATTCCTCTTCTTAAAGATCCCAAGCCGGATCTACAGGTAACAAATAAACTGTTCAACAAACTATATATAAGATAAAATTAGACAGTAAGCTTGTTTACGAAATTGAGCATTGTTTAAAAAAATGTAGCGTTTTTATAATCTATCAATCTATCCAATAATCTAGCAAATGGTATTAAAATAAATGAGGAGAAAGTGTATAATAATAATAATAATAATAATAATAATAATAATAATAATGATAATAATAATGATAATAATATAACTTTCCAATATACCTGTAACTCGCACTAGAGCTTCCACTGAAACCACTGTCCATGTCATATCCGCGCGAGAGCACATCATCAGTGAAACTAGCTAAAGGCAGCAGTTCTTCGGTGGAAGTTTCATGAGCTTCCTGCGCTATTTCTTCCTCGTTATTGTCAACCGTAGTTGGCATCAACATTGCTTCTACGCTTAGGTTAAGTTCCCCGAGCACGCGACGATGCCGCGATTGTACGCGACGTACCTCATCTGCCACAAGTGACCTTCGCGATCCGTGCAACGCGCGATGACATTGCTTGCTGAAAAATTTATCAGCGTTCAAAAGAATGTAACTATAGTGTGTGCATTTCAATTTGATTCTCAATGCGATTATATACTTAATTCTTATACTAATATAATTATCCATTAGTCATATATTGTATTATCTATTATATTATCACAAATTTTAAACTAAATATTCTGCACTATATACATCTATAATTATATAAATTTAATTTACATTGGTTTAAATATGTTCCTAAGAAGAAACAGTTATCAGAAATCAGGGAGCTGTCTCGCACAGTTTATCTCACGACAACATATGAAATATAGTTATGCATTTAGCGATTGTTCTCAATTTGAATACGCACGTAATTTATCTTGTTTCAACGACTTACGCGCCAGTCGAAGACACAGGATAAAGTCATAATCTACAACTTGTTTTCTTATTGTTCTCAAGTTAATCGCTATCTCCAGCATCCGCTACGGGATACATTGAACTGTGGGGAGTGAATTGCGTTGTTCGCATACATATTACATTTGCATGTACAATTTATTTTACATTATTTATAAATTGAGTAAACATATGTATGTTTTTAGCCAATAAATTTCTAAAAGAAATGTAATTTATATTTCTTTTATTGTAAAGTCTTTAATTTTCATAGACACGTGATACTGCATATTATGTTGGCAACTTGTATTATACAATACAAGCACTGAACTCTGTTAAAATAATTCTTATGAAACTAATAATTCGTTTACACGGATGAGATCTTTTAATAATGGATATTTACCTGATTTCCGATATCTCTTCGTAAATATTTTCTTCCGTGCCATAGCAAGTTGTATAGGTGTGCCTCTTTAAAGGATCGGATCTTGTCGGCTGCGATTGTTGTTGCGATTGCTGTTGTAACTGCTGCTGCTGTTGGTGGTGCTGTTGCCGCTGATCCTGCTGTTGTTGCTGCGAGAGAGCTTGTGTCGGATATGTGACATGGAAGTGACTCGAATCAGACTGGTAGTACGCATACGAATAATCCAGAAGCGGATGTTGGTGAGAACTCGTGATGGGCGACACTGGTGATACCGGTTCCATTAAAGCGTTGCGCGATATCTGCGGAAAAAAAAGAAAATAAACGCCACGCGATATAAAGATAACTTTTTAACACTGCTAACAGTAGAGTATCACAATTCTTAAAAATATATGTAAATTAATAAAAACGTTAAATATTTGTCGACTTGTATTTTAAATATGATTGTATCTTGGAATGTACTTTGCCTAATCATTGTTGTCTACAACCAAACACGTATGTGCATTATCAGTGAAATTAATAATTTCTCTCTATACTCTTTCTCAAAAGCTTACCTGATTGTGCGGCGGTGGGTAAGGTGGAGGTGGGGGAAATTCCAGGTTGACTATTCGCGGCGACGAGACGCCCGACGTCATTCCTGACCCCCCTAAAGACGAAGCCATGGCACATCCTTCGAGGAACTTTGATTAACTAAACCTCGCGGTCCTTTGGTTCCATCGGCTGTTCCATCGGCTTTTTCTAGAATAAGGAAAATAAATATCATTTTACACGTTCGCGAAGCAGTCGACGCATTTCAATGTGTTCTGAAAAACAATAGAGGCGTTGTTCCTGGTTATCCCTTTGTTAGAGATTATGAAATGTTATTTAACGCATTTTAAGTGCGAAATTCATTTCGTGAAAGCGGAAACGGAAGTGTTTTTACATTTATCACTTGTAATATCGAAAAATGTGATAGGGACGAAGCAAAGTCTACACAACACATATGGCATAAATGGTAGATAAAAATACGGTCACAGTATCTTGGTTGAAAAGGATGCAGGTATAGAGACGCGTTCTATTCTAAACATTAACGTTTCATCAAATTTTGTTAATCGTGCGTAAATTATTGTACAGAGGAAACAATTTACTAAATGTTATAGCAATATACCATTATACACTTTAGTGTCCGTTACTTATTCAATATTAAATTGTTATCCACACAATTTGTATATATACCGTCGTCTTTATGCCAATACCACTGTGCAAATGTTCCGTGCCACAATCATCAATATGTAATATATTTACTAAAATATATGTAATATTTATTTTTTCTCAAGATATCAATGGTACATAATATTAATGTAACATGTGTGAATATTATACATAGTGCTTGAATAATCTGAAGGAATTGCAAGAATAAAACAAAAACCTGATTTTTCAGAGCAAATTAAATTTTCAAAAAGCAATAACTCAAAACTACAAAATTGCACATTCGTGGTTTTGGCATAAGGACGATGATATGTAACAATATTTGTATACAGTCGTATAAAATATATTTCCGAGGATATCAGCCGATATAAAATCGATTTTAAATAGTTGATTGTACTACTTGGTTCGTTACATGTACAAAAGCTTAACATGTTTATACACGCACTCATCACGCACATGCCTCACAAATAAACACACACGCATACACGTACTTTTGTATAATATTTTCTAATATTTCATAATATATTACGATAAAAAAATTGCAAATTCAGATACACACATATATATTTGCACAGTTCAAAATCAAATAATAAATATATAAACTCAAAGCTAGCGAGAGATCTAATTGAGCGTAAAAAAGACGAAACAATAATGTTGGCAACAAAAACTCTGGGAATTCCATATTTTTCCATATTATAAAAATCAAAGAGGATGTTCAACTTTTATTACAGGCCAATCTTTTACTATTCAAATAACTATAATGTTGTAAAAAATATGAAACTAATCGCGTAAGTGAGTAGTTGACCATTTAAGAGATTTCAAATCAACGTGAGAGAAAGAGAAAGAGAGAGAGAGAGAGAGAGATTCTTTGTGTGTGTGTGTGCATAGTGCGTATACAGCTATAATAATATTCCCTACGTTTTTAACAAAAACGTATACATATTATAGTCAAGGGAAATTGACATCGATTGATAAAAAATGTTTGTAAATTTTAATTTATACATGTGAATAATCTGTAAGATTGAATATATTGTCCAATCTTTGTACGCATTTAATGAACAACAATGATATATCAATTTTAGAGATGTAGAGAGAAACGAAATGAAATTATTGATGTCAAGTTACAACGTGTATATAATATCACACACATATATGCACGCACGCACGCACACACACATATTTTTCATATTCGTAAACAATAAAGAAAATTTAATCTTCTTCAGCACTTAAATTTTAAGTAGATGAGAAAATTAGTCTGTCTCAAAAAAGGAATTGCGAGTAAAATACATTGCAATATTATCGCTAAATAAAATATATTCAGATCTGATCATAATTAAACAAAAAATATATATATAAGTACCTCGTAAGCAAGACGAACCGATCAACGGGACGCACAATCCTCCAATCTCACGCGTCTGAATATATTCTTCGGCAGAGCTCTTCTTACTCTTTGAATGGTGGAACAGGAAGACCGATTTGCTTGACGATTACGTACGACGATCGAATGCCACGGAGTGGCCAGTCGGAGGACCACACACGAATAACATACGAACCACGATAACGAATTCGTTTGCGCCTTGCGCCTCGTGCTTAGATAGTTTCGCGTTCACGTTCGCGTTTGTTGTACGTGAGCCAGCACGCCCCCTTGAGAAGCCAGTCGACCGTCGACCGGTCGGCCAAGAAAAGCCGCATCGAAGAGAGAAGAAAGTTGGGGTTGGGGAGCGGAGAAGAGGGGGTGGGGGGGGGGGGGGAAGAAGAGAAGGGACGAAAGATTGTAGGAAGGAAAAGAAGAAGAAAAAGAAAAAGAAGTAGGAGAAGGAGAAGGAGAACACACAAAGCGTCGTCTCCAGAGACGCTCGATCGTGCAGTCTGTAACTACTCTGACAATGAGACGATTCACGCGATTATATCGTATCACTATCCTAATTTTACGACACAAATGCCCACACACATGTATATATCTTGACTGATACATTTTGTAAATAAAAAAGGAACAATGTAATATATTGAGATCGAAATTTCGCTAGATCGTTCGGTCGATAATTGGCGCGCTCTATCTTATCTTTGGTCGATAAACGCGACACGAGGCAAATTCCTACGCGATGACATTCTTCATTCTTTTTTGTAGGAAATTTTAGAATTTGTACAGGACAAATTGCTATACTATCTTTTTAATAGTAATAATAATAATCGACATTTTTTTCTAGAAACATATATATACAGGGTGTCCCAGATCATTTGGGACAATACTCGTGTGCAGATAGAGCGGACCAAACTGAGTCGGAAAGTTCTCTATCATTTTTTTTTATAACGCTTAATAAAGGAGTTATTATTGAGTAAAGTCTGGCCAATCAGCGCCGATCTTTAGCCGGGCGCACGTCGGCGAGCTGCGCGCCTGGTAGTATGCAGCAGCACACACTTCACGGCACGCGGCTCACCGACGTGCGCCCAGCTAAAGGTTGGCGCTGATTGACCAGACTTAACTCAATAATAACTCCTTTATTAAGCGTTATAAAAAAAAAATGATAGAGAACTTTCCGAATTCGATTTCTGTGAATCATACGTCCGTTGGCAAATTCCTACCCGATGACATTCTTCATTCTTTTTTTTAGGAAATTTTAGGATTTGTACAGGACAAATTGCTATACTATCTTTTTAATAGTAATAATAATAATCGACATTTTTTTAATTAATAAATTGTTTTGGCACAATACAGAATATCGATTTACATTTTTCATAAAATTCTTAAAGTGCACTTCGCATACATTTCTCAGCAGCCTCTACCTTGTCGCAGAAATATTTCGTTGATATTTTATTGCATTATATAAAAAAGTATAACCGTAACGGTAATTTTGCTTACCCCGTTCGTATATTATATAAATTGAAGAATATCTTAAAAAACATATCAAACGGACATTGTATTTGAACGCATGGATACAATTTTGTCCTTTCTTATCATAGATGTAGGAAATGTGCGCGTATCGAACAATGTTGCGCCAAAATTAGAAAAAGAACGCGTCTCACAAACCTGGTTTTTCTCTTTCAAACATAAGACTACTATATAGGTTACTATGGGAACAATTTCTCTCTTATTAAAAAGAGATAAACATATACTTTTGAGACATTGCGTTCTTTTTCTAATTTTGGCGCACGAATTGCTAAAGCTCGTATCAGACTACGCATTGAAGATTCAAGATTGAAATATGACCAATCGGGACAAAGAAATTTTAGTTTCTTTTGTTCCAAATAGTCAAATTCCATTCTTTAATCTTAAATTTTTAATGCGTAATCTGATACGGGCTTAATAGATAATATAAAATATATGCACAGTCTATACTTCCTCCTACATCTATATTTTTTTACTGATGATTTCACGTTACAGACACTATAGGCATCGTATCGCGACATTACATCTTGTCATTGTAATTATTGCGGATAATTATTGGCGTAAAATAAATTTTGTATACATGTACGATGCTAGACCGCAATAATCACCTCTAATAATAATATCCGCTTTTCGCCCATATTTTTTTGCAAACTTTACGCTAACAATAAGCAACGGTACACTTTTATGCGATGTAACACTCGTGTGTATGCGTGTGCGAGCGCGCGCGCACACACAGCTTTCCTTTCTAGTCTTTTGTTAACTAAATTTATAATTAAAGGAAGATAGAGACAATAAATTTTTTCGTTTCCAACAAGCATTATAGATACATTGACAACTAAATTTAAATTTAAAAAAAGCATTGTTTTTAATACAGCATCATGTGTGCATAAAGCTTGTCAAAATAATAGCAATTTGTTTATCAAATAATTAATATCAACTCATCAAAAAAACCAATAACTTGCACATGAGAATGACTTTAAATAATCATGACAATATAATAAATCAATAATAAACAGAAATACAATATAGAAAACTCTGGATGGCGCTAAAAGAATTATACAATAATGTATAAATAATATTAATAATAATTATCATATATAATGCTGATTTATCGTTAAAATAATATTAGCCATTTCATTGTATACTATGTACAAAATATTCGAATATACAATATGGCGTTAATGTCAGCTGACTATTATGTATTCATATCATAAGTAAGGCACGTATGACAAATGGTGAGTTAATGGCTTAGTTTACACCGATATACTTTATTATGTACTAAATACTATACTGTCCAATCACAGTCGTTCCATTCTTTCAAGGAATGACTATGATTGGCCAATGTAGTACTTAGTACGTATTAAGTATATCTGTGTAAACTAGGCCATTGTCAACTTTACACGAGACACACACTATGTTAAATAGTAAAGTTAAATAACAAGTGAACCAGTAAGCTATAATTGTAACATTGATAAACGCAACGTAAAAACGCAATTTGCTTCTAAAGTTTTCAGTTGCAATATCGGAACTTGTATATACAAGTTGTCTTGTTGGCTGCTAGATTCATTGTCAGATTGTCGCTCTGAAGCGACATTTGCCATATTTATTGAATTGAATTATGTTTCTTTGCCGATTGGATTCGGTTTAGTAGCAACATTAGATGCTATTTAAGAGGTTTTAAATCGATATATTTTGAATTTTTTAGCTCGACTTAAGAGCTCTTAAATAGTTCCTAATATTAACGATATCCGTATTTCTATCATTTAGCCGCTTAAGCTTTAAGCTATGCTTAAGCGTAGCTATAATTGAATAAAGATTATAGATCTTTTATACCCTACAAAAATACATATAATAATACATAAAAAATAAATATATGATGAATCTTTTGTATATATCAATACATCGTTAAAAAAATTGCTGCTTAAAAGTTTTAAAAAAATTATTAGAAGATGGCTCCCGACCCAATTGTAACCAATGAGATATTATTTTTAAATTGTGTGTGACCGAGAACCTTATAAAGGAAAACATTTTTGACGTTGATTAATATGTATTACATACATTATATTTATTTTTGTGTCTCACAGACAATGCGCATTAATAATTAATCGGCGATTGTTAAAGATATGTCAAAATTAATTCATTTATCCTAGGATCCGATGTGATCCGATTGAAGAAAAAATTATTTCTAATAATAATAATAAATACAACTTAAATATTATAAATATACTTACAGCAATGACTGCTATCATTGACAAATATTTTACTGTATCATAGAGTAATGTTACCATGTTTTTTTTATTGTTAGTCAAATGGTTCATACGATATGAGTATGCAATGCACTCTATAAATAATACACTCTTATCAGCGATAATTTAGATTTGATCGTAACAATCGGCAAAGATAAAATCGATAAACAATAAGAAAAATGAAATAGCAGCAGATATATAGCGATTATAATTATGCCAATTATATAATGATAGTAAAATTATAGTATAAGCAATAGCAATAATAATACTATTAATAATAGAAATAATGATAATAATAATGAGTTTTAGTTATTAGTAAACATTAGAAATCGCGTAATAAACTGATGCCGCCATCGGAGGTTTTTCAGTCTTCTTTGGTTGCTGGGTAACTCGAAGAGATTAATGGGTACAGTAGGCACTGTAATAACGACGTGATGAAAAACTCGTTCCTGTCCGAATTTTCACCCTTCATTTTCGCATATTTCTTAACGTTTATCGTAATGTCCTTCTTTACGAAGAGAAGGGCGCTCTCGTTCCATTTTACCCGTTGATGAGGATCAATTGATTAATAAGCGTTTGACTGCGGGCGTTGGAGGCTTTAGAGCAAACGACCGAGCGGACGGGCGTCGCGGATAAGAATAGCATCCGATATCATGTCAACCACGTTCTTCCTCTTATTACACTAGTGTTTTCTTAATCTTCTGCAAACGTACGAGTATTATTTGTATACGCGTTCGCTGACTTTATCACCGACAATAAATTTTGAGCAATGTATACGCCATTGTTGATTACTTATTTTCTCTTCTCATCGAGCCTTACGAAATTCTGCGACAAGATTCGCGCATCGTTTTCCGCCCAGTCGAATGCGAGTTACATATATTCCCAACGGAATAAATTCGTTCGTCAATCTTTTTCGCATTACCACTTGTAAAAATCAGCTTTTCTCGGATATATTTCTAATCCATTTCTAATCTCACAATCTTGATATACGCATATGTAAAAGTATGTTTGATTTCTTTTCGCTTGGAAGGCTCTCCTCGGTCGCTCGTGACACGCGCGACAGACAAGTGGCGGCACGAACGATCGACGACTGGTTTTATCATCACCCGACGATGATGGCACGGCACATGGCAAGGTTTTTCGTAGACCAGAGCAGATTTTTCGCAAGACGATCAGACTCAGCTCAGCTCAGCTTAGCTCACGAGGCGTCACAGAATGCCGCGATGCCGAATGATGGTTGTTGCGGTGATGACGTCTCGCCCGGCGACATTGCGCTGTGCAACAATCATCGACGTCCGCCACATATTCGCCACGTTTCATCTGATGTGCGATCGAATTACAAAGTGATCGTGGACAGCGCTTCCTGTCGCACCTGACCTCGCTATTCTGAAACATACAGAAAGCGTACAAGAAGCGGCTTTACTACCATTTACGGTACCGCGTATTCGAAAAAGATGCTCACAATACTGCGAAAAATGTAAGCAGTTATTTCAAACCTTTTTAAAATTGTACAAAAATTTTTACCGTAGCAAGAAGGAAAGTAAGAGAAGAGAGAGCAAGCTTTCCAAAAAGATCAAAAATTTCTACTATCAGAATTTGTATTATTAAAAAAATACGCACAAATATGTCTCTATAATAATGCATTTCTAAATAATTGCTTGAAATTTTTCAAAATATTTAATTTCAATTTTGCATGAGTTAGTGTGTACGTATCTTTTTTATTAATAAATATTATTTTCATTGAAAATCGTTGGAGAAATTTAGAAAAGAAAAAGGAAAAAAATTGGAATTCTTAAATTTCTTAAAAACAGCTGTTGGTAAGCGAATCATAAATGTGCTATTATTCTCTTTCTTCCTTTCGCAAATTTCACAATTGTTTCTTTCATATTCCTTTTATCTCTCTCTCCCTTTCTTCTCGAATAAACGAGAAACAAAATATAAAAATCACATAAATTATTTAAAATCCTTCGGCAGTAATATAAATCTTGATAACCTTGATTACAAATTACATCCATATTTATAGAATATCTTTTTTTTAAATAATTTGTTAAATTCGTTTTCTCACGATTTTTCGCTCCGTCTACGTCATACGTCGCGACGTGACGCGACGCGATGCAAATCAGCCGAGGCCACAGCGCGCGCGTTCCATTTTCATCTTATGAAAATGAATGAAGTTAGTTTTTATAATGGAAGGGACCAGGCAAACACAAGTATGTTTAAAAGCTATCTCCCTAAAGGTTTCTCGTCATATGTGTCTTGTCTAGATATTGCAACAAAGCAACTTTAGCGATCATTTAAGAAATGAAATGATAAATAACATACATCAACTTTCAAAGTTTTAGATTTCCTCTGCTTAGCAACAAGTGGCTCTGCATCGGCTCGATTAAAATGATTATTAGACACGATTGATAGAGAGAAAGCGTATACGAATAACGTCTTTTATTCATAAATAGCCTCGTTTCACGAATCGCGACAAGAGTCTCTCACGCGCACAGCAGTAACTTCGTCTCATTTTTTAATGTCTTAATTTTGAAAATTTTGGAATTTTTAAATCTTTCAATAACTGAAATCAAATAAAACTTCTATTAGTATATCTATGTTTTGCTATACAAAGCGAACTATGGCGATAACTGTGATGCGTACGTTTATGTATCGTTATTATATAATCTTTTTCGATAATTTGATAAATAAATTCTTACTTTGCAACGACACTTGACGCACTTCATCTCACCGTGGGAATGCACTCGGGGATGCCATTCCACGCCATTCTCATAGGGTCCACCGAGAGGATATTTGCAGCCACCAGAAGAGAGTATCTCTTCCGTGGTGCGCCGCGTCGAAGGTAAAGCCTGATCTCTCGGTAGATGCGCGACGTCGCTTAAAGTGGTGGTAGTTATGTTGCTACGAGGCGTCGTTACCGGGCACTGCCTGCAACAAGCCTTCTTATCCGGCCTGAAGGCGATCTTCTCGTCGCACTCGAGCGGCGGGCACTGCACCCGCGGGCATTTCACCTCCAGCGTGACAGCCTGCGAGACAAATGGATTTCCGTTGTAAATTGCGAACGTGAGAGGTGACTTGACTTTTTACACTTGCTTACGCCAGAGTGGTATAAAATAACACACACTCTGACAAATTTATTTTATCATATCCTATTTTAATTATTATTAGTACTTTTCGCGAGAAAAAGAAAGAGAGACAGTGTAGGAATTTTGTTTTCGTAGTTTTAGCGATATACTAAATGTATGTACATAGAGTAAAGAATGTTCGTATGTTATATACATTTATAATACATGAGACAACACGTGTTGTAAAGAAATATTTTTATCATTTTTTAATTATATATTATAAGTAATTCTTGCGTCAGCTAACTAAAAGGGAAAAACTGCAAAATATTTCTATAATATTACTTTGGCACAATCTGAATCAAAATGTAATTGTATTATGCGTTGAAAAAACACGCGATAAATAAAAAAAAAATTCTTGCATATTTTATATGTATTTTATTTCTTTTATATATGTATTATTCTTTCAAAAAAGAAAAAAAAATATTGCTTTAGGAGAAAGAAATTTTTCACAGTTTATTTCAAATGTTTTCGCAAATTGATCTATCCGTGCGACTGCGATAATAGAAATTCTAATAGAAACCAAAAGGAATAAAAACTTACGTCACAAACACAAATCGCACAAATATCGAATCCTACTGGTGGTAAATACGGATGCCAAGATGATCCTGCGAGATGATATTGTCCAGCCAATGTACAACCTCTCGTCATATTGCTTTTGATTGTTGTATTAGTTTCGACAGTCACCAGTGCTAAATATTATTAATAAATCATTAATTACTGATAATGTAACGATAATTTAGGCATAGCTGTATTGGCCTACAAACGTTTTCAATTTTTAAGACCTTCCCAAAAAGTCGAAACTCCTTCTTATATTAAATTGATTAAATTTGATATTAGTAGTCATCAAATACATTTTCTTTTTTTTTTTACACATGTCAAATATATGTATAGTACATACATTTTGCAAAACTTTATTGTAATTTAATTGTATAGAATCAGACATGTGCTTGCAAACAGATGCGCGCGCGCGCACACACACACACATGCACAAATATTGTAGATTTTTACTATAATTCGCTAATCATGTTTAAGTATTACTTTACTCGTTTTATTACCATTTTCTCTTTCAGTTATAACATGTGTTGATTTTCTGTTCCATATTAAAGAATTCAATTTTCCTTACATTTCCCACATAAATAAATAAATACATTTAATAAATATAATAAATAAACATATTTCTTCATACCAACGCATATCGGACAGCAATGACCAGACAATGGTTGCTTAAGCTGCTTTCCCAGTGGGCAAGAGACTGTCGGACAAGGCATTGCATCACATCGTGCCAAGCCGCGATAGCAATGACACATCGAACAAGGATCCGCGCTCGATGTCCATTGTGTGCCCTCCTCGTAGAATCTGGTCTCGTGAAAGCACGCGCCAGTCTCGATATCCGATCTGGGTGGCTGCAGATTGTACGCCACCACAGAGGCAATGTCATTGTCGGCATAGTGCGGCAAACAGCTAAACGGCGCTCTAGCCTTGAAGGGAGCCTTCAAGATGTGAGTAACCTGTTTATCTGTCACTTCGAGAAAACCGATACCCGATTCGATTCTGTAGAGCTCCATCGGTGACAGTCCGGTAACTGAACCCTCTAGAGAGTATCCCGTAAATTCTTCGAGGAGCCTCCTGGCAACGGGAGCACCTTGCGCCAGTAGAGGCATTGTCTCCAGATACAAACGGAACGTCTGTGGTTCTTGAGAAGAGGAAGGAAAACCAGCGAGCTCTAGTTCATAATGTAGAGAACAATCCAGGTCTACCGCGGTCCATATCAGACCGACCGGTCCAGGATACGTCGGTTCTTTAGTCGATCTCCGCAGTAATACGGGCGCGGCGGTGTCTCTAGCATCTGCCACAGGTCTTTCCAAGAGTCTGCCGCGCAACATGGAGCCGAGATGACTCGCAGCGACTACAGAGAGTTCCTCGTTGAAGAGCGGCTGCAAGAGTCTCGGCCCGGGCCGATCCAAGGAACCGTTTGCGAGACCGTTGACCAATGAGGGCGTCAAGTCCTCGAGTTCCGTTCTCCGTTTCCCTCCCTCGTCCACTAATGTCACCAGGGGACTCTCCTCCTCGAGTCCTATCAATTGAACTCCGTAACGTAGCGCTCCGATACGATCCAGAAAGGCCCAAGCCAATCCGGACGCCGCGGACGGTGTCTCGGACAATAGTAATGTCTGATATATATCGCAAGTTGCGCGCGGACCAACCGTGCCAGCCAGTCGAAGAGCCTGCGGATCCTTACGAGACATTATACTAATCGACAACTTGCCACGAGTTAACAAACGGAGATCAGTTCCGGAAAGGGCGCTACGAATCTCGCCGAAGTTCAATTCGTTGGACGGCTTTTTCACGACTATCTCCTCACTAAGGACCACGTAATCCTTCTCCTGGTGTTCTAGCTGAACGATCAGCGGAACGTCGATCACATCGTTTGGCAGGAAGAGACCGTTGAAGACGAGCGATACATGGATCGATGGTGTCGAAGCGGATGAGGCGGATACAATCGCCGTCGCGCCTGCGCCGGACATCAATGATCGATCGACGCCCATCGTCGGTTCTAATAGCGAGGAGAACTGTTCGCTCGATAATGCGCGGTATCGAGATACCTGACCGGTCAGACTTGACGAGGGTTCCCAGATGAAGGAAACATGCAGACGTTCCTCTCGCAATAATTTACGATAGTCGCGCGGCATACGCCTCCATACGCCGCAAAGTTTGCCAGTAGCATTTTGATAGGTGCCACCGATTGGATCCATCACCTGTTCTTCGAGAATGCTGCCGGATCCATCGATAAACTGTATGCTACGCGGTCGAGGCGTCGATGCGGACAGATAAAACGAATAGTAGAGATTTTTGCGTTGGAAGCTGAAACGACCGGTTGCCAAATAGTTGTACGCGCTGTTGTACGATGTTGGATTCAAATTGTCACGACGCAGAGATTGTGACGTTCTGCCGGTTAATAGGGTGCCGAAATCTGTAATCACGAGATATACGATATTCATTAATTGAAGCTAAACTAAGCTAAGCTAAGCTAAGCTAAGCTAAGCTAAGCTAAGCTAAGCTACTTGAGAAAAAAAGGAAAAGGCGTAACACACGTGCTCGATAAGTGATGGAGCAATCATGAGACTGTTTTTATTACATTGCTCTTTCAAATAAATAGAAACGATATCAAAATCAAACGTATTCGAATGTATATGTCATCATTGCGAGTGTGTCGAGAATTTTTCAAAAATACTCGAAAGAATCTTACGTTTCAAGCTTCGCTCCTCTTCTTCCGAAGTTAACTGCGCCGGTAAATCTTGCACTATGTCTGTGTCTGTAACAAAAGTTTTATTTTATCGTAAATACGTGCATTTATTATACGTGTTACTTTATTATTCGATGCAATTCTTTTGTTTATTCAACATTCTTTTTGTAAATTTAATGTAAAAATATAAGGATTATATTTTTATGAAATGTTGATTATAAAATTTATTAGACGAGTTCAATCAATCAAATTTTTGCGCCCTTTTTCCTTTTCTTCGTTTTAAATATCTTTTCTTTTTTGTCGTTTCCAAAATAGGATTTCCAAGAATTCTCGTTGCCTTTGTCTTGGAGGAGTATACCGTACGTAGGGACTAGCATCACGCACATATGTATGTACACAATCGCGTACGTTATAACAAAACTAAATATATTTATACAGCAGAACAATTAGAACTCGGAAGCATAAAACTGTCTTCGCATAAGAGAATGGCGAGTGTTTTATACTTTGTTTTACATGGTATCAAACGTAGACGCATACCGGCCTGATGGCAACTCTCTCTCTCTCCCTGCCTATCTCCCTCCTCCGTCTCTCTTTCACAGAGGATAGGCATAAAATAAAAATAAACGATCAATCGTCGATCGTCGATGTCCAACAGTCCAACATTGACTCGACTCAGCAGCCAGCAGCCGGTGGTGGCATGCGCATGGATCATAAAGAATGCTTGGTAGGAGCGCGGTAGGAAAAAGAGTCGGCTGGCGCCAACCGTTGCTACTTTGAATGTTACTTTTATGGCGCATACCGCGCCGGTTCAGCGCCACAGAGACGTTAATTGCCTTCGCGCAAAACGTACAGCATGCCTCTCTCGACACGCGTGAGACCAACCACAGTTATCAACTAAACTATTTCCGCCTAATCGAATCTAATCGCGACGGACGGCGCGACGTTAATTCTATCGTGTCATTAAAATAAATCGAAAAAAAGAGTATAGATGATAATGTGATAATTAATTGCTCTCGCGAATCAAATCTATCCGTCGTGCTTTTTATGTCTCCTCGTTTTTTCAAATCTTTTTTCGTAAATAAATTAATAAGTCTCTTATAGCTTTATACAAGACAAAAATTTGCGAATCCGGCGCGCGAATTCGGCTAAAAAGTCATCTAACAAATATGTCGACCGATTATAAATTGTCGTTTTAAGCAATATCGTCGGATTGAAAGGACAATCGTTATGCAGAATTACGGATCATCGATTAAAAATATTTGAATGTGCAATCTCCAGCCGTTCAAACAAACAAGCGACATAAAGATATAAAAGTCGGGTAGTCTGGCTCGTAAAGTATTTTTGCGATCAATCAAAATTCTTTTCTTCGACGTATTTTAAATTGCGTTTAAATTTTTCTATCCCATACTGACGCACACGTCAGTACCGTCTAATTTATTTTTATAACGTCGAAGAAGAATCAAAGTCATATTTTCATGGTCGTGTGTGTGTGTGTGTGTGTGTGTGTGCGTGTGTGTGTATCATAACCGACATGGGATAATCGACGAGAACCGAATGAGAATCGATGCGACGGTCCAATCGACGAGTTCAAGGGTCGCAATACATTTTCTCGTGGAATGTAAAAGAAAGGGGCTGTTATTTGCGCCAAGTTTCATCTTTCATTAGTAGGGCCAACGAGCTCCTATCAGACGGCGCGGCGGTGACAATTATGACAATGATGATTATTAGGGCGAATCGTCTCGTGCGGAAAATAAATTTGACGCGCGAGCTTTCTACGAGAAGCAAATGAGAGGGGTGGGATTATAAAAAATAATTCTATATGTATTATCGTTGTTGGTCACGGCAGAATCGCGACGATAACGAGAGCGCTTTATCAAAAGTGTCACATTAACCTAATTGCACGATAAATATATATGCGCATTTTTTCGTTGCATCGCCAATAACTGCGCGATACGCGACTATAAAAATGTAACGACTCTGTCTCTATTTATAAGCGCTCGGACAATGTCGAAAAGTAAAAGGAACGGTCAAATGAATTTGCATAAATGACATAAAAGACTCCTATTGTACTCCCGCTGAGCAATTCGTATCCATTGCTACAATCTCTCTTCCACATTTTCTCTCTCTCTCTCTCTCTCTCTGTCTCTCGCCTCATCCGCCCATCTATTCTTATTCCCGCTGCGTGCGTTCTGCCCGATCATTACGTATGCTAATATTTACATTTAGATTGCACGGCTTAATCGAAGTGACGCCATACGGTAATATAGCCGGCGCCATGGCGCTAAACCCGTGGCGTCCGTCCTCATCTCCTCTCACTCCGCTTCTCTTCAACGATTACAACTCGAGTTCCTTCTCGAGAGAACGCGATCGGTCAATCCTGCTTCCTAAACCTTTTTTTCTTTTTTTCTTTTTTTCTTTTTTTCATCCGTCATTTTGTCTTTTTCTTTGCCATTTTTTTTTCACCACTAGGCAAATTCTCAACCTCTCTCTTTCTCTCTCTCCGCATATTTCTAGATAAAGACATGGAAAATTTTTAAATCCTAGTTTATCGTGTCGTTCCTGAAAATAAGTAAAACAATGCAGTAATCGCATAAATGTGCGAAAGCGGCGATGGCTAAAAAGATTATTCTAGTTTGTACCCAAGAAATTTAACGCGTCAATTTGCGATTTATTGGAGTAAATAATTGATGTAGAGATAAATATGTAACGTAAAAGCGATAGTATCGCTAAGCAAAGCGAAACATTTCGCGGCAATTTGCGCTCATTATCGTTGCTGACGCACGCGAAGCTTATCCGCTAACCTTATCAGTGTGCGAGATACGCTACTTTCACCGCATCGGTGACTTGGGCCAAATTCTTCGAGAGCTCCCCCAACCCCAACGGGCACAACGTCGTCTCTATTTCTCTTCGCGGATTCCTAAACCTAATCTGTATCGCCGCTATACTAGTCGCGGTAGAATGCGGATAGAGTAAATCGCATAGTCGGGATACTCGGAGAGATTGCCTTCTCGGTATCATCGATGAAGTGAAAAAACAAAAGGAAATATTTATGATAAATGATGCGCGTTAACCTTACTCATTGTCAGTTTATTTCGAAAGCGCGCATTTCCGCGCGCACTTTTGACGATTGGACAGAAAAGAGGATCGACTATAAATAAACACACACAGCGAGGCCTACGAAAAACTAATCAGATATATTGCATAACTTACTCAAGTCACCGGGACAGGATTTGCAGCATCGACCCGGTAGTAAAACTGGTTCGTCGCACGTGAGTTTGGGACACTCGTTCTTTATATTGCGACATTGGACTCTCGCGATGATCCGTCGTTTCTTTTGCACCTGAAAGCGACAAACGACAGTTAGTTAGCCGCCGGTTAGGTTTGCGATCGCGAAGCAAACTATATGCTCGTATATTCCATCGCGCTCTGTCTTTTCATTGATAAAAAGAACATGTTTTGTTTATATTCGTGACTTTGTATTCCTTACTCTACTTTGTTACTTTTGGTCGCGCCTTGGCACGACGATAAAGAGGATACTGATACAAGAGAGAAGAAGGTAAAAGAAAGTATTAATATATTTATATATTTTATTCCACATCGCTCGTGGCGCGCCAACGATAAAAACGATAAAAGCACGCAACGATACGTATATTAATTCTCAAGCTCGATTAACATTGCGCTTCTTAAGATGGTATTATATCGAGAATGCGTGATTCTCTCTCTTTCTCTCTCTCTTTCTCTTTCTCTCATCTCATCTCATCACATCACATCTCATCTCATCTTGGAAACTCTGCAACGGAGGATAAGCGTCGCGTTCGACGAACCGCGACATTACCGCGAGGACTTTAAGCGAGGAGAGAGGAGACACGACTTCTCGTAACGACGTGTGATTCACGCGACGCGTCTGCTTCTTCTACAACCAAGATCGCGACCTATCAATAGCTCCTCGTGTACACGAAGGAGGGGGACTGTCATTCTTCTAAAGTCTAAAAATAGACGCCGCGCTCACGAGCCGAACATAACACACAGCGCAGCATCTCTCTCTCTCTCTCTCTCTTTCTCTCTCATTTTCTTCCGTCTTTCATTCTCATCTTTTCATCTTTTCGATCGATGATCGTAATACATTTTTCAAGAATCTCTTTCAACCCTTCGTTAGAGATGAACGTGAGACTATCGAAATGCACGTTTAGAACGCGCATTTAGAACAAGTATTTAAACACGATTATAGCATGTTTCTCGACAATAAACTCCAAAGCGAAGAAAAGAGGCGTCCCGTCACGTCCTTACAAATCATTTTTATTCATATATGTTAATAAATTCTGGTGATACCATACTGAAATTATTTATTATGATAAATGCCATGTATATACGCCAAACACTATGCGTGAGAGATGCAGCGTGTTTTAATATGCGGATTGTGCGTATAGCGAGTTATAGACACATATACGCGCGTACAAATATTTTATGCGAATAAAACACGAGCTCACTGTATTACGTACCGGTATACACTCGCATTTGATACAATACATGATTCCAAAAGGCGGTCCTAAATCCGCAAACCATACGGAACCTAGTTCGCGGATCTGCTTGCCAAAAGTGCATTCTGAAACAAAGAGAAAGAGGAATTAATCGTCAATATCGTTATCGCCTAACAAAATGTTACAAATAAAAATTGTCAAAATTTAAATATCGCCCTATTTGATGTATAATTTATCGATTACTCGTATAATACCATAAAGATAAATTTATATTTCACGTTTAACAATATACAATACACATGTGTGTGTATGTATATACGAGTTAGTATATATTATTATTATTATTATTATTAAAAGAAAGATGCGTATATATTTCAGGTGCAAATATGCTTTGTCTACACTTTTGCTTTTCGCTGCCATCATTGACGAATAAGGCGCAATTTGACGTGGGTATAACGTAATACGTTCGGCATGTGCACGAGTCGTACGCATATTCATTCGCGTTTATCGATAATATGCCGTTGCGCGTTCTTTAAACCATCGTTGAATGAGACTTGATCAACGACGCAATTTTTTATTCCAGATGTAAAACTTTAGCTATTGTTTACAAATACCGCACAACTGATTAATCGATGCCATCAGTGACACAGTGGCAGGAATTTCCTGACCGCTCCGCGCTGAATTACAATTGAGATGTGTGTGTGTGTGTGTGTGTGTGTGTGTGTGCGCGCGCGCGCGCGCATTTTATAACAACTATATAGGAGATGTAAATTTCAAAAGAAAACAAATAATACGATCAAATTTTCTGAACCAAGTTGATAATATAATTTTATAATTAGTAAAAATACATATAATACATATAATATATGTCTGTACATATTATTAAATTGACACTAATATATATTCGCGATTTTTATAATTTCTTAGACTCTTCTCCCGCTCAAAGAAGAAAAAAAAAAAAAAAGTGAAAGCTACTGAAAGCTATGGAGAGTTTCATTCCCTTACACTGGCACTGTCTTTACCTTTCGATGTAAAAATAAATGCGGGTTTGAAAGCATTCTGAAAATAACGTAATAGGAATTGTTTTCGTCGCAAGTGTGTATTACGCACGACCATGTTTCAGTGTTTTTATTTTTGCCATGCGAATATAGCGCGCTGCAGTTTTTCTTAATTCATGATCAATCTGAGATTAGCGGAGTTCTATTAATATTACTTATAAGAGAGAGTACTCTCGGAGGAATATGCATCTTATTCGTTGTCTAACAGATGAGTAAATTACTTGATTATACATGTCAATATGTACTCTATATGCCTGGTGTATAAATTTATGCGGATAACACGCATACATATATGGGAAGGAGAATGAGAGATATGCTTGGAAAAGAAGAAAAAAGATTTGCAGGTTTCCCATTCTAGCATTGCTGATCAAAAATTATCATAAAGAGAAAAAAAGAGAGAAAGGGAGAGAGAAAGAGAAAGAAAAAACTTGGTCAAATACGAGTGAAAAAAAAAATCCGTTTTGCACGAGGTCATTGCACTGCGCGCGCTAAATTGTTCTAACGTAAGCGCAAAGTCGCGGCCTTAAGTAACTAGGAGTCCGAGAGAGAGTCACAATATCAAGCTACTACGTCAAAAATATGCGAGTCACGCGGTATAGAATGCCGCTGTAAAGTAAATCGTATTAATATTCTCTCTCTCTCTCTCTCTCTCTCTCTCTCTCTAATATAAAGCCTAACTGAATATATTTACAATTAGAGATTAAATAAATAAATATATTTAAATGTCTCTAATAATTATAAACGATTATTATATATTATTCAATATAAATATTTCATCTGGAAAAAAATACGTTTCGATTACTCGCAATTATAATCCATAAATTTCAAACGATAATCAAAACTTTCAAACGATATTTGCCAATGATAATGATTAAGATTCGTCAATGGCAATCATTTCGCAAAGGCATTTGGGCAAATGTATGTCCAATAAAATGAAAAAAGAGACGAAACGACGATTAATATTTAAATCGATTTTACGAACTGATTAAACAAACACTCGCGAGTGTGCGCCCATCTACATTTTTATTGCGGGTGCCATGAGTACGTTTTCGTTCACGATAATATAAATAATGCGAGCGTGGAAAAGAGCATGCACCGGAATACACTAGACCATAATCCGCAAAGCGGTTAAGCGAATGGCAAACATGTGCTACCTTTCGTTTTTCGCTTTTCGCTTTTCCACCCTCGCATTCTCCTGTGCGTCTCTCTCTCTCTCTCTCTCTCTCTCTCTCTCACTCTCTCTCATGTTGGATAGATTTACGAACGTGACGCCTATCCGTTGATTCTCGCTATTCGTCTCTTCCTCTCGTTCTTTCTTTTCGGCATCTATCCTCTCGTCTCGTCTCGTCTCGAGTTTCACATCACCTTTAGCATCGCGCCCGCTCTCACGTCTCATCGTAACATTGTGATACGAAGCACGTACATAAGACGGTTATCCTATCGCATCATAATGGAGAGAAATGAAAAGACTGACAAAAACAAAAACACCGGTTCTTTGTAAAATTTAAAAATTAAACTTTAGAAATCACAAAGCCGATTTTTTAATTTCAAGTTGGTCTCAGTTTTTTTTTCTAGAATCTAGAATATCACTTAAAGATTATAAACTTTATTCTTTGAAAATAAAAAAAAACCACTCGATTTCTATAGATTAAAAACATTTCTCTTTCTCTCCTCTATCGGTGCCTCAATACGTTTGTACAAATAGCCAGTTGAAATATCCGTTTTTATCGGTTTTCTGCAAAGTTGTGGAAATAGAATATTATTAATAATGCTTGCACTCTCATAAATTTAATTTCAAGTTTTCGCCAAAATGACGTAGCGGTACAAGAGTGATATCTACAGATACAACACTCTATAATTATGCTCTCTCTTTCTCTCTCTCGATTTCCTTTGGAGATATCAAGCGCATCGCCTATGTCACGTGTAGCACATTGCTTTACGTAACGGCCACCTGTGATCGTGAAGCATTTTCATCTATAAACATAGATCAAGAGACGACACCCTTACTTTCGTCAGGTATCACACGGCGGTATCAGAGCGGTATCACAGCTTCGGACGATGTTCGAGCACCACTTTTTCGAGCGATGCCGCCTGCCTCGCCTCGCCTTTCTTCTCCTCATCAAACCATGCCATGCCATGCCATGCCATGCCATGCTACGCCATGATACACCACGCTACGCCACGCCACGCCACGCCACGCCTCGCCGCGTCACGCCGTGCCGGTTCACGAGACGTTTTAGCATCTCCGCTAAAAGCGGATAGACACGTAGGCGATAGCGCGATGTCGTCGCGATTATTTATGTATGCGTGAAACTGCGCCGCTCCGCTCCGCGCCACGCGCTGATACCTGATGGCACGTAGATTTACGTACGACGCAAGTACGCGAACGCATTCTTTAGCGTACGTTTTATTTTCTTTTTTCTCATTTTATTAATTTTTTTTCCGCGAGTATTCATAAAAGAAAGAAGCATGCATTATTTTAATTATAACTATAAGATATATGAGATACTTTTTAATAAAACGAATCGAAAAAAAGTACATATATCTTTTTCATATCCAAGTTATATGAAATGATGTGTGATATATGTATATATAAATTGTTCCAGTGTTGAACATATATATCTCTATTGTATATGTCCGTACACTTGCGTGATACCACGCACGGCTCAGAAATGCCGACCTTGCGCCTGCAACTTGAGTCAGTGCACGCGTAATGCGATGCATTCACGTTCGCCAAGCCTTTCGGCCAATCCCTTCGTCGGTCGCGCGACGACCGCGCTGATAAGCAACGAGGGCGCAAGGGCGCGAGGGCGCGAAGGCGCGAGGGCGGCGGCAGCGACGGCGATGGCGATGGCAATGGCGACGGCGGCAACCACAAATTTACACGTATACAAAATATGTTTATATATATATATATATATATATATATGTGTGTGTGTGTGTGTGTGTGTGTGTATGTATGTATGTACGCGCGTGCGATATGTAAATATACCGTCGGACATATCGAAATATCAGGTAAGGTGTACACATTAGACAATACGGTATCGTTTCTTTTCCCGAAATTATTCAAATTAGTCGCGCACCAAAAAACATTTCTTTTTCTTAACCTAATTAAAAAGAGAGGAATATATTTTATCGTAGAAATAAATAGAAAGAAAAGAGAAAAAAGAAGAGTCATTGCGAGTTGACTGTATTGGGATTATGCCAAAATTCAAACATATTGTTAGCTTAAATTCGTCAAAAGTGTCTGGTAAATAAACCGCTATTACGTCGACAAGTGGCTCATTCGTATTATTCCAAATTTCTCTGCTGGCACGTGTCAATGCTCTCGCGAGCCAAGAAACTGATTGATCAATTCAGTTTTGCAAAAGTACAATATATCGCTCGTACTTTACACGCGTGATAAAAAAAATTATTTGTAAACAGCATCGAAATTTCAGAGAAAAAATAATTTATATATATGCGACACTTTTTGTAAAAATATTATTCTTTTCAAACATAATTCACAACCACGTAAATATATGATGGAAAAAACCTCGTATCCATCACAGAATCGCTGCAGCGGAAAAAATAATAAGAATTGGATAATCATTGGCGGATGACGTACCTACTTTTCCTTCCACTGACTCTGTAACGCGAGAATAAACACACGAATGATAAATAATACATTACGTTTCGATCCGGACAAGTCAGTTTGATTCGATTTATTGGAGTGACGATCGATGGCTATTGGCAATGAGAAGAAGGAAAAAGATCTTTCGGTTTCGCTCAAACATATCGCGATCAATTTTTTTTTCTTTTTTCTTTTTTTCTTTATGTGGTATAAATGCGCGAGCGCGCGCTCGCGAGAGAGAGAAAGAGAGGGAGAGAGAAATGGAAAGAGATACCGATTCACTCTTATGTTTGAAACTACAAGAGTTAACTCAATGGTATCAACGAGAGTCAACAGTTTAGCAGAGCCACCATATAAATGGATTAATATAGAAAAATAAAATTATATATTTTTGCTTCTGCCAGAATAATCTAAATTTATATATGTATATATTTACAAAACCGGTGTGTGCTTT